GAAAAGAGAGCGTGTAATTGATCCCCTCTTAGCTCATATTACATCAGAGATATTTTGAATGAAATTAGAATAACTCTACGTGCACTTCAGTTCAAATTTGACAGTATTAGTGTTATATTGTTGTAGAAATACAAATGCATAAATTTGATCCTTTGAGATTTACCACATTTGCACCAATCTTTAAGAATAAAAGAGATCCGACAAACCTGCAAAATATAAATGTTACACACCAGTGTAGTGCTAGTCATACACTCCGATGCACAACAAAGAGTAGAGTTTTTGTAGCGTACTTCTAAGGTTGAGTTCTCCACATCTCATTCTCTCTAGGAAACCTAGTTGTTCAGACCTTGGGATGTAGTATTGTTGTGGGCTTTAAGGAGAAAAGATCGTCGGCCTGTTTACCGAACCTCATTAATTGGGAACGGGGCCTATTCTTCGGGACACCAGACGACCGACCATTATATTGGTCGATGGCCGAAACCTTGTCGACCGACGTCAGGTCTTGGTTGACTCAGCCTTGTGCCGTTGCTCGTCTGTTGGCCTTTTGAATTTGGGCTTCCATTCTTCATTTGACCCATTAGAATCTCCTTTTGCTTATGGCTTCCTTCCTCTTAACTAGGTTTGCGGCTTGTTTGTTGTAACATATAAGGTAAATTGTATAATCTAAAGTGAGTATAGAAAAACTGTGCCACGTCATAAATGATTTAAGTAAAGACATAGCTGTATTTATTTATGTTAAAATTATTAATAAGAAACGTTAAAAGAGATCCGAAACAATTATAAAAGATGGAGGATTGGATTAGAATAAAGATTTAAAAATAAAATTTGGAGACAAAGAATATGACTTGAACGTTAAATCCAATTGGACGTATAAAATCCAGTACATTGTACGAGACAGCGAGAGAAAACGTGATTGGGCCAAAGGGAGATTCTTTCTGCACACGTGTCAGTTCACGCGAGCGAGTGCGGTGGCCGCCCACGCGCTCGCTTTTTTATTTTTTATTTTTGACCAAACGCGCTGGCTTTTTCCGCGATGCAATCTTTTTTAGCCTAAATTCGCTTGTCGTAAGCAAACTCAGACCAAATATCCGCATTTTCATTTTTCTTCTTTATTTTTTTTTGTTTCTAAAAGAAAAAAAAAAAACTGACCGATAAATGATGCAAAGGTAACTGTAAAAACTGATACCACCAGGCTTTGGAAAATACTATTTCCACTCTCATTTTTGGCTTCCGCCACTCCCCTATTATTTTATTTTATTTTTTCATTTGATTTTATTATTATTTTTTTAATTTTGTGGTCGAAAAAGTAGAGTGTATAGGGTACAATACGACCAAATATTAAATTAAAATAATACACAAATTTTATTAAACTTTATCTCATTTTGAATTTATTTTATCTATTTAACCTACTGTTAAAGATGAACATGAACCCAACAAAATAGAATATAATAATTTATTCGAAGAGAAAAATGATAGGTCCAAATAAAATAAATACCACTACATATAACTTCATTAACAAAACTATGAACAACTCTAAAATATCTAAAAATACATATTGGATTAAAAACAATAAAATTTTCTACTTTTTTTAGCACAATAAATATGAGATTAGAATTTGAACATTCAAACTCAAGAAAATTAGTGAATGTCTTGACAACTAATTTGTGCTTGCATTGACATAAATTTCAATCTATAGTTTTTGATATCAAATATCATCTTCATTATTAAACGATATCCTAATTATCATGAAAAATTAAACACCTTTGCACTAATGACCTATGACCTATTTTAATATTGATGGAATCAAATAAACTCTAATTAAAATGCAATGTGTTTTTAAACTAATGCCAATAAAAGTCAACAAATGCGAATAATAAATATAATTACAAAAAGAATTTTAGCTTTATAAGAATAATGTACTAAAATTGTCCAATATAATTTGTCCTCAAGGTTTTATGTAAAGGGAGTATTTTTTTTTATTTTATGTAGCCAAATTTTCGAATAAAAAAAGGCTACGATATTAAAAGGCAATAGCCAAACAATTAAGAATAATGGTTTAGCCAAATATAAATTGCTGCCATTTGACCAAATTCCAAAATTGGAAGAATTTGTTTCCTTTTGTTAGGCAGTGTTTGGTTGGCTTTGAAAAAAAAATATTTTTTATTCTTTCCTTTTTCTTTCAAAACAAACAAATGCATGAAAGTAAAAGCGTTCCATTCAAACTGTTAAAAAAGCAACTACAAAAGAGAAGTGAGAGAATCAAGCTTTTCATTGAAGTCGCTTTTAAGAATTATTTTTTTTTCATTTTTTAAAAATAATATTCAAAAAAGATGGAGGAAAATGAAAAATATATAATTATTATTGTTATTTTCAGTTCAAAATGAATTAATTTTCATTCTTATTACAATGCAAAAGAGAGAGGGATTTGAAAGTTGGAATGCGAAGTGGACAAATTTTATGGTTTGTTACTTGTGGGGTTAACGTTTGTTTGAACTTTAAGACAGCAAAGCCCTTTTTAATTTCTTGTCTTTGTTTTCCACTAATTTGTCATTTATCACTTCTTTTAAAGTTTTTAATCATTTTCTTAAAATAGTTTAAATTTTTATAGCCTACTTTTTTGGGTTTGTGAAAAATGATAATCCTTTTAATTGTTCGGTTTATTTCTACGTGCTAGATATTTATTTATTCGTAAAAAAAATAGTTGTTTTAAAGAAGGGTCTTTTATAAAATCGAAGGATAGAAAAAAAATTAAGTTTCAAACAATAAATATTCAAATATGCTTTTACATTAAAAAGTAAAACTTTATTTAAAAAATATAAAATATATTGAACTGATAAATATGAGATATGAAGATTTGAACGTATTTGACCTCAATAGAAAGTAGATGCAATATATTACTATTATGAAATTGGAAATGATATGTTAAAGTCAAATTTTAGTGACATTTAAACCTAAAACAGTAATAATTTTAGTAACAAGTTTGAGATAAAGTCTATTTTCAAAAGAGAAACGTGTGATATTTTACAAACCTATGACTAATTTTTCTAGAACAATAAGCTGTTGACACAAAAAGCATATATCTTGTTACAATAAAAACAATTCCAACAAACATAAATTATTTAAAAATTTATTATGATTCATCCCTCTTTAGAAGAAAATCCATGAAAAATGTGATTAAACTTATAATGGAAGAAAACCAATTTCCTAAAATTAGGGATTTATGTTGGCCTATACTACTTTTAAAAGTTGACTCTAGCTTTATTGCTACTCCAAAATTAAAAATAATTATCATAATATTCCTCTACTTGTCTCATATTCTCCTTATTTTCATTATTATTACGAAAACGCGAGTATAACTCCACTGGTAAAAATATATATCTAACTCCACCCCACATGTCTTTTTACTAAAAAAATCTATAAAAAAAATTCAACTTAATTATCATTATGACCTTAATTCAACCATTAATGATGGGTTTTGGGCCGAATTAAGATGCTTTTGGGCCTCTTTAGCCCAATTTAAAAGCCCAATCTCCCCATCTGAAAAGATAATCTAGGAATAAGTGAAAGTTTGGGAGTTAAAAAAACTGATCTAAAAAGACAGTTCATCCTCCAATTTTCCGAACCATATCCGACAAAATATATGTAATGACAAATATACCCTTAAATGTTCTGCGAAATCTCAGAATCATCCTTCACTCAGGAGAACAATCCCAATTATCGGATACCCTCCGGCGGAAAAACAAAATTCCCCACGTAAGGACTATAAAGGCACCTGAAATAACAACAATGACGAGGGTATCTACGTCATTTCATTTCCCTTACTCAATCTTTTACACGAAGATTAATTACAACGTTTAACATTTGGGTTATGATTTAATTTCATGACTAATCAAGTAAATGCGGATTTTATTTAAAAAAAGAGCATCATTTCAATATTAATGATTGAACGAATAAATACATTCAAAATTTCCAGCTTATTAGAACTAATTTTTTTGATTCTATTCAAATAATAGTATAATATTATAATTCACATCTCCCTAAAAAAACGCTCCCTTAATACAATCATATTAACATCGTCGATCTTTCTCTTTATAGTAAGCTTCACGTGATGTGGTGGGGTCAAATTATGATTGCATCGCGACGCTTAAACGAGTCGGTTTATAGATATTTTGATACAAAAGGTTCAAAGACTCACGATTTAAACGACAGACATAGATATATGCATTCCCTTCATCTCTTATATCTCATTTTTTCCCGACTAATAAAGTTAAATTATTGAATGCAGAAATTCAAAAGGAATGAATTCATTAAATGAAATTAAATAAGTCAATCAAAGTATGAAAAGAACTCCAAAAACAGATTTGATGATTAAAAGGGGGGTGTTTCTTTTTTGTTCTAAATATATATATTTTTTTCTTTTGTTTTGAAAACTTGACCACATGCATGCAAACTGAAAGAGGGCACTATTTAATGAAGGGAAAGGGAAAGGAAAACATGCAATGTAATTGCAACTTCCAATGGGTTAAGTTAA